CCACCCCCTCTCCTGTTCCCCTCCCACCCCCTCTCCTGTACCCTTGGTTGCTGAGCGCAGGGGGCAGGGCCCAGCAGTGGGGACTTGGGGAGGGACCCACAGAGGATTCTGGTCCCAGCCCATCGGGGGGCCTGGGTCCCCTTCAGAGAAGCCAGCGGTGGAGTCACTCCGCCAAAGAGGCAGGGAGCTTGTCATCTCCAAGAGCCCCTAGGAATCAGGGGGTCAGCCAACCAAGGCCCTTGGCCAGCCCGGGCCACGCCCAGCCCGCCTGCTGTTTGCATCTGGCCACGGGCAGGCGGAGAAGGGTGTCTCCATTTGGAAACGCGTGGGGAAAGGGCGATGTTCTGTGACGTGTGGACACTATATGACATTCAAGTTTCAGGCCACAGATGCACGTTTTATTGGCACGCAGCCTGCAGTTCCTTTACTTCTGGTCTGCGGCTGCTCTCGCGCCGTAAGCTGTAACAGCAGAGCTGAGCAGTTGAGACAGACCGTCTGGTCTGCAAAGCCTAAAATATTGAGTGTTTGGCCCTTAACAGAAAAAGCTGACCCCTGATCTAAGCTAACTGCCCATTTCACAGGTGGGCAGGCTGAGGCTCAGAGAGAGAAGGGACTCAAGGGTTTGCAGAGGTTTTCCGGCCCACGAGCGAGGCACGCAGCAGGGGGCAGGGTGAGGAGCAGGGCTGGGTAAATCCTGACTCTGCCGCCCCCTCGCTGTGTGACCTTGAGCCGCCGCTCGGCCTCTCTGAGCCTTAGTTTTCTTCTCTGTAAAATCCCGTAGTTGTCAGAAGGGGTATCGATGGCATCAGGCACCCAGCAGAGTGGGAGCTGTAACTGTTCAGCAGGTGTGGGTGGCGTGGACGGGGCAGGTACCCCTGGTGCCCTGGGCCCAGGGGCTGATCTGTGCCCAGGGGCCAGGTTCCCATGTAACGGTCCTTTCTCGGCTCTTCCTCCAAAGCTGGGAGGGAGTGGGTGTTCCTGACCTCCCCCCGAGGGCCCAGACCACAGTCCCAGGCGTCCGCTCAGCACCCAGAGCAGGGGGGCTCGTGAAGTCCAAGTGTTTCCCGGACCCTGGGCCAAACCCCCGGAGGCTGCCCGGGCTCCTGGTCACACAGCTGAGGGTGTGGGTAACTCTTCCCTCCTGCCCCTGGGAAGGCCCACAGGAGAGGGAGGGGGGGGGGCGCCCCGAGAACACTCCTGGGAAGGAGGTGAGCACCGGCAGCCTTCTGAGCTCAGGGCAGGAGGATGGAGATGAGGGAGGGGAGGGCCCCGCCAGGACAGGCCAGGCCGAGCAGCTGTTTCGATCCCGGGCGGCTGTGAGGAGGGACATGGAGGCTCCGGCCCAGCCGTGCAGGGTCCTGTGGCTGCGAGGACAGAGCTGGGATTTGAACCTTCCCCTCTGTGTGTGCTGCTTCCCAACCTTGCCGTCCACCCAGAGTCAGTCCCTCTGGCTCTAGCCCCAGTTTCCCAGCCAGCACTATTCTGTGGGGTGTCCCCCAAAAAGGTATACACACTTTGATTGATTATTCATTCCAGTGGGTTAGATCTGAAAAGAAAGAAGCATCAGTTGAGCTATCTGCTGCTAAGTGTATATACATTTTGGGGGGACACCCCGTATTTCCCAGCTGTTGGTTTTCGAATGATGTTGGGTGCACTTGGGTCTGGGGTGGGGCTGAGGGAGGGGTGGGGATTGGGGGAGTGAGGAGTGGGGAGCGTTGAA